GAGTCCACAGGAGAGTACAAATATGCATGTATTCAGGCAAAAGTCTGAAAAAACTTATTTTCTTCAGAGGCAAATAGAAAAGTCTTCAAACCCAGTCACATAAACAAAAAAAATATCTCATAAACGGCACATTTTTATAATGCCAATAAAAAACATGCATTTCAACTCAAGGCAATTTTTTAATTTGCTTCTGCAATATTGCTTAAGCGATTATTTTCTTTTGCCACTATATTGGCTCTCCTTAACTTTGGCATCAGTTTCTCCCTCTGTGAAGATGGCTCAGACACAGACTAAAACTGAATGCACAAACTAAAACTGAGCACCTGCAGTGGGAATTCTGCCGTTTGGAAGCAAGGGCACCTAAGGGCCGAAGGGCGAAGGTGAAGGCATAAGAAGGCAATAAGAAGAGACATCCAGTGTAGTACTGGGGGAGATTGTCCAGCAGAGATGAGAGGATGAACATAAGAAACAACTTTTCATTGAAAGAACTGGAAAGAAAACAGAGTGAAGAAGTTAGGAGTTAGACATTGTGGAAAGAAGATGAAAGACTGAACAAGAAAAGTACAGTGTATAGTCTGAAACGTCATATTTTTTGCTTATATGAACAAATAATTCCCTGTAAATTATTTTTTAAAGTTTGAAACTATGTGTCAACTCTAGCCTAAGCAGCCCAAGCCTACACTGTGTGTACAGAGAGGTCTCCTGCAGCTGCAGGATGGGGTAGAGACCAGTAATAAATAATCATGTTTCAAAAAACCTAAGCCCAGTCTGTTTGTAATGATGTAGTTACAAAGGGTGGGGTAAAACCTAAAAAAACATCTCAAAAACCTAAGACCCACTGTTACCTCCCCTTGTTTAAAATAGAGGTGAGGCCAATCTTACCGGCAAAATTCCCATTTACCGTTCAAAATTGTTGTGTGCAAGCTTCGGACTGCGTTCCAAGTGTTGTGTTCGTAAGAACAGACTTCCTTCATTATTTCTTTAAAATTAATGGCAAGCTGTAAGAGACTTAGTTCAAAGCTGCATCTTAAGGGATTTTTTGCACCTTCATCTAGAAACTTTTGAAGATCTTCTTTTTTCAGTTAGAGATAGCAAGCATTTCCCTGTTTCAGCTTGACCAGAAACCACCAAGACTAGCTTTTCACAGGGCACTTCAGCTGGGAGCTTGCTATTTGAGCTAAAATGCAGATCCATGAAAAACTGAAGTGAATGAATAAAGAGAGGTAAACCTCTGAGGGCCACCAAGCTGAAGAGAACAAGGGAAGGATGTGCAGTCAGCACTTCTCAGGTGGAGCCCTCAGTCAGCGTTGAGGACTGTTTCCCATTAATGACAGGAGAGATCAAGGAATAATCAGCTACCATTTTCTAAATATGCCACAGCGAGATCAGCTGAAATAAGCTTTATGTAAAGGGAGCAAGTAGGCCTCAAATATCCTAGCAACTGTGATGGACTTTAAACGTGGAATGGTGTGGTTTTAAAAATTCTGAGTGAGCTTTTACAGCCGCTTCTCACAAGGTTAGCTTTTGTAAACTGCTGCAAAGCAGAAGACAGTTAGCTATCTTCCCACAGCAGATGATTTTCACCCACAATTAAATGCAGGTGCAGATCTACTAATTATGTGGTTATCAGTCTAAAAATAGTAAACTTGCAGGCATAATTAGTTGTATCCTTAGCTTTGTGTCCACTGAAGGTCACATAGAGCATATCCCTGAAACTTAGATCACCAACTGATGTTAGGTATGGCCATTTATCCCCACTAAAAGCCAGTCTGAAATTCATGCTACCCACCCTGCAAAATAAAATAAGATGAAATGAGAAAGAAGTATGTGTCTAAATCTATCTATCTCAAACTTTATTGCAAAGTGCTGTTTCCCAGAGATACATATATTTCTGAGGGGTAAAATACCATTTCAAAACATAAATATGACCAGTCAGATATTCCAGTTTTGACCTTTTACATAGGAGGAAGAATTTCTACTGCTTTAAGCTTATTCATGCAATTATTGACTGTGAGTAATTGGTCAGGAGTCATTTGTGGTCAGGCAGACATTTTTATCACTAAATCAGAAAGAGAGGTCTGTATTCAAATCAAAATACTTCATCTTCCAGAGGAATAGACTCAAGAGTACAGACTTGTTTAGCTGTGATCCTGCAGACAAACGGGGTGAAAACATTAGCAAGCCAAATGCTTGGCTTAAAACTTCACAAAGTTTATTTGAAAAGGGCAATGACCATTTTTTTACCCTATGAAAAGTAAAAAGCAGCTTTCCCCATCCCAGGGGGTGGAAGCGGCCTTTCAGCCATCCACCCGATGGGTAAATAAGAGCAGAGAGAAGGAAAAGGAAGCATTAGCAGCCGGAGTGTGCATGATTTATGTTTTGTTAAGCTCAATTAAGTCTCTGGCCAGAACTAGCTCCTACCATGTCCATTCACGTGGGTGTAGACCTCACTATTTTCTTTTCAATGAATATGAAATGCTTACTTTACCAGAACATGTATCTTAAATAAAAAGGTCTTCCGCCATGACCTTTGGAAAAGCAGTGGAGGAAGCAGTTGTGCTGTGCAGAATCTGGCGTGGGAGACGTGAGCCCTGTCAGCACACAGGTCATTTTATTCCTCCTTATTTACTCATGTGGACTGTGGCAAAATGAAGTTTGCTCTGCTGAAAAATAGCCTACTGACATCTTTTTGCTATGTGAGTTCAGTTTACTCACTACAGTGAGGAAGGATGTCATTTGCTTTGGGTTCTAATGGATTCTAGTGTGCAAAATCAGAGCATTACCCAACCACAGCCTGGAGCGGCTGCTTAAGGCATTCAGTATCATCCCTGATACAAATTTACAGCAATGGCCCCGCGTTTTGTTCAGTTTTGAAGGACATATAAATACACATGTAACACCGTAGTCGTAGCATGCTCAAACCTGCCTGGTGCTCTTATGGGTCTTGCATCAGATCTGTGGTCACACGCATTCATGGGGAACCAAAACATGGTGCATTTGAAGGGACTTTCTGTCACTGCATTTCCCCTAATTTCAAGTGATCCGTTGAAGAGCATTTGAATCATTCCTGTTTTGTTTGAACTAGACAAATTAAAGCACTGACTATAGTTCCTTGGCTTATTAGCTTTACTTTTTTCTCCTTTAGCTAGCGAACCTGATTTCCTCCTCTCCACTGTAGCTAAAATGTCAACTAGCAAAACCGATTTGTTTTCAATGCCATATACAGACCAGTTTTCTGTTATGTTAAGCCTATTGAAAGATAAACTTCAGGATCAAAGCAAATTTCTGTTTCCATGGTTTATTTCATCTAGACTTTGGAAAGATGTGGGGACTGTGTGCTAAAGATTTACTCCTACAGAGTCTTCTGTTGTTTATCCATTTCGGTTGTTCCATCTGTCAGACCATCTGCCTCCCAGTGACCCCATTTCTTTTTTTTTTTCCTCCATTTGTATTACAGGTCCATACGTTTCGAGGTCCGCACTGGTGTGAATACTGCGCCAACTTCATGTGGGGTCTCATCGCTCAGGGAGTGAGGTGTTCAGGTAGCCCTTCAACATTTTCTGTCTTTCTTTTGAAATGCTCAGGCGTCCCTCCCACCCTCAGCCTGTACTCCTTGCAGGAAGGGGGCAGGGATTGCTTTACAGAACAAGGCAAGAAATCCTCCTGCACAAGTTAGAGTGCTGTCATTTTCTTCATTAGCTGGTTTAGAAATGAAGCCACCAGTCCTTGGTCACTGAGGATGACATCCTTTCAGTAGTACCTTGGTCATGCGTGTGCTTTGGTGTATATATTAAGAATGCTTCTTTATGGTATCATTAACTTATCCCTGAATGTTTTTACATCTTAAGAAACAAGATTTGGAAGTGGCAGAGCCAGCCAGCCACTAGGATTCACAACCCATCTTTTTGCTACCAATGGCTGAGAAGTGCCCTCATTTGCAAAAAGACTGTCACCTGTTTCCTATAAAAATACCATGCGTTGCTGCAAGCCTTAAATAGCCCACCTTGAGGGAAAGCAAAATGTATGACCTTTGTTTTCCCAGAAGGATTAGTTTTCTGATGCCTCTCTAATTGTTTCAGCATTTTAATTACATTTTAATTACTTTAAATTTGCTTGTTCTTTAGTGAAAAAATAATCCATCTTGCAAAAATGCAATAATCATCACATCGCAAGCTTTTGGATTTAACAAGTGAAATGGTATTTGTGCATTGCAAATGTATTGCAAATTTCACGACTTCTTTCGACGGACCTTCAATCCCTTCAGTGTCTCAACTGAATATGCTTCAG